AAAACTCCCTTTGAACAGGAAGAAACCTCCAGCAGAACCAGGCTCAGTGTGAGCAGCCAACCAGTAGGTGGCAGTAGTGTTCTTTGACAAACATGGATGCCTCCAGTAAAGCACATTCACATGAAAATTACTTTGAATTAAAAACACTGATAATTTTTTTAACAGTATGGAATAAATTTCATATTTAAAGTACTTTCAGAAGTTTGAATTCTGAATATTAGCAGACTTTTCCTTTAAACAACCAGAGTTGCTGTCTCTGTGGGCGGAGCTAAAGAAGACTAAAGGTTTCACTCATGCCTTCAGGACGTAACTATGACGCATCTTTTTGGAAAACTAATGGTTTATTCAACTCTTTCATATTCTCTGTGACTGAACACTTGAATTCTGATGGGAGTGTGTTAAATAGTAAGTTAGACCTTTTTGAAATGTGACCTATTTTCATGGTTATGGACCATATTCCTCTTTGATCATCTACTCCTGTCTAAAGTGTTGGGAGTGACACACAGCCAGTGACTGTCTGTGATGTTCTGCTAGGTGGTTTGCTACTAATTAATAGCCGTTTGGGACCAATAAAGTTTTCTGAAACTGAATAAATCCTATAGTGCCATCATATTTGCTGCCATGGTTACACTCACTGGGCTTAAAGTCTCTCAGATCCAGGGTTTTACCAACCTTGTGGAACCTGTACTGACCTTTGGACCTGAGGGGTCAGAGGTCACTTCAATTAATTAACTTATTTTTTACTGTTTTATGTCTTTTTTTCCCCATCAACCTAAAGTCAAATGTGAGGAATAAAGAACAACGGGGATTAAATTAAGTTTCAGAAGCAGGACAGGTGGTTCCTGAGGGCCACCATGTTGGTGACCCATCTGCTCCAATCAGCTGCTGGGATTTCACAGACTTAAAGGAATGAAGACCAACTCTACCAAGCCACTTGTCATTTTATTGGTTTAGATACATTTCTCCAGCCTCCGCCAGCTGCTTGGCTTCAGGCTAACAGGCTTCCATACTTTCCATCCTCCATTAAAAAGAAACCAAAAACACGGACCATGTAATCCATCACTTCAGATCATCCACATATCAGGATAAACACGTCTATATAAATAAATAAAATCAGCATAAAGGCGTCCTCTGTCATCCTCTCTCTGGATTCAGCTGAAGCAGTAGTGTGGGTTATTATGGGATTACGGCAGGAATTAGCTGTAAATCAACATAATAGAGAAAAAGAGTCGATGTGTGTATCTCCACCTGTAAGATCCAGGAGGACAGAGAACGGAGCAAAAAGATGGTTTGTAGATTTTGGGATTAAAATGATGGGATTTATAATTTATCACTGCAGACAGCAGAGCTTATGGAAACAACCAGCAGAACAAAGGTTCCTTCTAGAAGCACAGCGCTCTTCCTCCTCCTTATGGTGCTCAGAGTGGATCTGGACTCTTTCAGGCTGTTGGAGGAAGTTAAACAGGAAAAGAAAACCTTCCGTCTGCCTGCTGTTATCATGAATGCTGACGTTCGCTAACCGTAGTGTTTTTAACCCCCAGATCAGCTTATTTTGATAGCACCTGTTGATGAAAACTGAGTAATCCTGCTGCTTCAGTCCATTCAATAAATATCAGAACAGATCATTTACATTTTGATCCAATTCCATCCAACAACCACCAGGTTTCATCTCTGTGCTTTCCCTTCTGGATGAAGCTGCTCCTTCTGCATCAACAGCTAATGATGCATTAGCCTCCATGCTCACAGAGCTTTATGTTAGCTTAGCTTAGCACCTCCTGTCCAAACAGTCAGATATTATGGAAGACGTTGATACATGAAACCCAGCAGGTCGTCTTCATTTTGGAACCAAACAGGTTTCATTAACATCTTCGTTGAACCTAAACAGACCTTCTACGGTGTTTCTAGGTCACCATGTGAGCAGTGGTAGAGAAAGGTTTCAGCTTTCTGGGTGATCAGGGTTATGATGAGGCTGGGAGCTGTTCATAGAGCGAATGGTAGATCAGGCTTTAGACCCTGTCGCAGATCGGGCCGTAGACCCGGTCATAGATCCGTCTTTAGATCGGGTCATAGTGGGACGCCAGCAGCTGTGTCCTGGCAGCTGGAGCAGACTGGGGGCAGTGCCTTCTCTCTCATCTTCATTCTTCCTCCTCCTCGTATTTCAGTGCAAAAATCAGAACTTCTGTAAAAACCCAGTTTTTAGAGTTTGTGGTTTGAGGCAAACTCCACAACCTTCACCTTCACCTTTGATTAAAAACTACAAACTACTGATATTTGGTAGCAAAAAGTCTCTTCTCTTCCAAATGTTACCGGTATGACAACCTTTCTGTTAAAGCAGTAGCAGCCATACGGTGTGGGCGTCCCTCCTGGATCAGGAAGACGACCCGTTGCTACGCGGCCACATGGCCGATCAGGTAGATGTTATCGTACAGGTGGCCTACGAAGTCCTCAGAGATGTTGTGAGCGGCTCGCCGAGTGTTCCTGATGAACTCCCTCTTTGACATTTTGTTTTTCACGTGTGGGCTGGTGAGGTCGATGGACAGTAGGATCAGACTGTAGCACAGCACGTAGACGGCGTCTGCAGGGAGCAAGCACACAGCTACGGTCAGAACCCAGCAGGAATGACTTTACTTCAGACATCTTTACTGGTTCAGTGTCTCTTTTTGTCTGCAGGAAAATGTAAATAATCTCATCTGTTCCAATCCTAGGATTAAGGCCTTTATACTAATCCTGCTACTAGAAGAAGGCCCAAAGACTTAAGGAGAACCAAATGAGGGATCAGCTTCTCTCAAGTGGGAAACGTCACGCCTGGCTGACAGGACTGAAGCCTGGGATTATGGAGGCAAACCTCCTTTCCAGACTGGCCAATCTGAGCTGAACATAAAAAGCAGTAGACTATCGTTAGTTTGTCCCAAAGTTTAATCCTTCTATCCTGCTGATTCTCTAATCTTTATCCTGTCTTATGTTTTAGTGTCTAAATCCCTCTGAGAGTTTTGGGCATGAAGTCTGAGGCTTTTGCAAAGGAAGAGAGAAAGTCATCGCTGCATAAAATAATCAGGGAAATTATGTTTAATCGGGTTTAATGTCAGAGAACAGAAAGCAGAGCAAGAAGCTGAAAGTACTTCAGAGACCTTTTCTTTAAATAAATGATGTTAGAAGTTTCTATTCTTCTCTCCTGATCTGATACCTCTATATAAAATTGAGAGCAACAATCTAGTTTACTAGTGGGTCCTAGAATTTCTAAAAGTAGAATGGGAGGCAGATCTTTTAGTTATCAGGCTCCTCTCCTGTGGAACCAACTACCAGTTTTAGTCCGTGAGGCAGA